TCAATTATCTTTATTAGAATATTTTTAAAATTTCTTGCTTAGTTTGAAAGGAACAAATGGCAATACGGAAAACGTTACGAAATCAATTTGCCTAAAACCATTGGTGTTTGACTCAGCTCATGAAATCAAATCCATTTCCTTCTATTCCTTATTTTACTAAACTAAACCTCCAAAATAAGCAATGTTCAGTGATAAAAGAGTCCCGCCACAATGTACCCAGTGGTAACGATGTTGCATCATTGATTTGGAAAACACGCGAACGAAATTGATTTTCTCTCATACCAACCTCTACAAAATGGGGCGCTATAACTGCCCATGCTCTCATTAGATGCAATAACGGTCTGTTGGTATTGCGGGCGCTCCTCAGTATCACATCCGCTAGTCGGTACAAATGAAGTGTTGTGCTAAAAGATGGCGTCTGACCATTGGAGCTTGCAGGAACTCCTCCTCCAGGGGAATTTGAACTCTTGTCAACTACGGAACCAAACAGCTGCGTCTTGGAAGCGTAGACGAGGGCTTCAAGGAACGACAGAAGACCCTCGAGGTGAAGCGTGTTGGCGGCGTGCTCGAAAAGACGATCTACAGCGGCGGAAAGAGCGTAAATTGCGCGGGAGGCATCGGCTGGGGTCAACAGTCCGCCGTTGGATGGCGCATGGTCCGAGCCATTTTCGGAATTTTGTCGGACAACGCCGGTACCATTCGGAGAGAGTTCGCCAGAAAGGTAATCAGAGATGCTGGAAGATTCCGACATTGGTGAAGGAATGTCGGAGTTTATGCGGAAAGAGCTCGGCGGTGTCACGTGTGACGACAAGTCTCCTACACCGCTACTGAAATGCACACGTTCCAGCTGCGATATGTACGTACAGCATCTGCAAATAGATACCATGTGATCAATCTCCAGTTTCTCCTTAAAATTTCTCAACATAGTTCAAGCTGTTTTAGTATAATTGTTATTAGTGTAAGGCAAATCGTCAGCTTGGGAAAACGGCTTTGACGCACCTCTACGCTTTTCTTCAAACTAAAATTTAATCGCAATTAACAACAACACTTGCAGTATTACTTATGTAATTGTCAATTGTTTCGTTGGATAATTAGTGCTTAGTCACTTGGTTTTTCTTAATTATTACGACTGGCTGTACCTGAATACGTGTTTCCAGCATTTTGGTGCGTGACTTCCGAGTTCCACTCCAACGGCCAGCAGTCCATCCATACTTAGGACATGCGCAGCGTGAAGCTTGATGAAGCTTGGTGAGGAGTGGGACCTGGTTCTCTTTCCTTCCAGACCCTCTCCCCCACAAGAAGCACTTGCTAACTGGGCTAGAACCAGTTCACAGCGGGTTTGAATTCCCAGTGTGCAACACAAGCGGGCTGCTCGTCGCAGACCATCCAGACTGAGGCAGATGGTGTCACGTTCGCGATTGTGATCTCTCTTGGATTCTCCCCCCAGCATTGCAGCAACGTTATTCGAAGTACCTGGATTGTAAGATAATTATTACGGACTCTGATCAAAGGATTACCAAAAAAGCCTACATTAGTCATGGGATATTACCCTGTGTAACTAATACAGGTATGTGCATCCCAAAAGGTATGGCATGGGTAATTAGCTGTTTGGTCGGAAAATATATAGGTCATAGATTTTACCATTTCGGTCTCAAATTGGGTATGGTTTTAAGGCAGCCGCTTGAGCATATTTAATTAAGCGTGTTATCTCTATAAAAGAGAGAAAAAGCGGCAACATAAAATTACATTAGATCCTATAAAGCACGATTTATCGCTTAATAAGCCAACAGCAGGTCCGACAGAACTGGTATGAAAATTGACATACTTAATGTTATTAGGGGTCAGGATTTGGAGTCCCAGGGCATACATTCGAAGGGATATGCAGCCATCGTCCCCAACCTCCTTCCAAGTCTGCTCACCTGAGATGGAAGTCTCCAGAGGAGCTGACAGAATCTCTAACACTGAATCCCACGTGGTAAGCAGCACCCTCCTTGCAAACTTCATCCCCTCTCTCTTAGCTGGCGGCAGCGTGCTGGGGTTCCTGTGGTGAAGGAAAGGGCTGTCGTCTTCCTCGGAAAGCATGTTGTCGTTGAGTGTGTTGATCAGGGCCCGGTTGGTCAATGGTGAGTCCAGTGTGTAGCCGGCCTTTCCTAAAATGTTATAGGTGGTGACAAGGCGGTACAGCTCACCCAGCCAGACGGAGGACAGACCAATGGGAACGCCACTGTTGAGAATGGCACTAATGAAGTCCTCCTTGGAAATCAGAGGAAAACAGGAAAAATCAGTTTTATATATCCCTCCCTTCTCTCCTCACCCTCTCAGACTAACTAATTCTTGGTTATTTAGCTATCAGTTCAGATAAATGTGGCCATATCTCCTCTAGCCTCGAAGTAAAGGATGTTCCAGGTGGGTATATTTGTATTCTTAGTCAAAAGGGAAAAAATGCAGCTATTTTCCAAAGGAGAAAATCTCAATAAATAGAGCTGGCCACAAAGTGAAACTTTCTATTTTCCTTCAAAATTAAAGTCCTAACTTAAAGTACGCGGGTAATTAAAGTTGGTATTCTTTAGGCATAATATTCGCAATTTGTTTGCGTTGCTGATTCTCTGTTCGGCTAGCTTCGAGCGAGAAAGATGGACCTAGTGACCCATTGTGATTGGCTACCCGAGTGGGCAAGATGGGACTCTCTTGCTCGCCCGAGAACACCCGGTTTGTTCCGCAAGAAAATAAAAAAGGCTAGTGTGTTCTTGATTCTATGTAATAATTCCTTTATTGACGAATTTTGTTCGATCAAGATGGCTATGAAAGTCGACTGCACCTCGGTTCATAAAGACGCAGGACAAAAAAGAACTTTGCCAATATTCGACCATCTTGACCTTGGTCAATACCCCATACATAGCACGATAAGCCGCGGTACGTTTTATTTTCTTTCTTACCTGTGCTAGTGCGGGCGTGGCTGTTTTCTTCTGATAGTATCCACTCTTCAGTAACTTCAAATTCAGCGTCATAGTAGCGTACACAGTGACGTACACACCATCCGCATTAAGAATAGGGAAGCTCGGGTCCGACATCGCTCCTTCGCCCGACTTCTCATCGACCAAATCCGACCGTCCCCGAAGTGTTCCGAAGTTTGGAACGTTTTTGCGCTTGAGTGCCATGCATGTGACCGCTTCACAGACGTCAGAAGCGAACTGCTGCAGAGCTTCGTCAACAGCCACTGGATCAGAGAGGCTCAGTACTGATGGAAGAATGCCAAGTAAACAGCGTGCAAAGTTTCTAGCGCCTTCTTTCTCGTTTTCCTCGACACTCTTTTTGACGTCCTTTACTTTCTTTTTGTCTGGTGATTTGCCTGAAGCGTTTTCTTTGCCTTTGTTCACAAAAACACCGTTTATTTTCACGCCCTGCGACGAATTTTTCCTCGGCATGCTCGCTGCTCCCTTAGCATCAGGCTCGTCCAAACTCTGGCTTTTAAGCAGAATTCCTTTTGGTTTATCACCGTTGCCGTTTTGTTGTTTACGATCGTATTCCGAAGCCGAACGAGTTCTCCGAAGAGTCCCTCGGGGGCCTTTCGTTGGCGATCGGTCTTTTTCCTTTTCCTCCCTCAAAGCCTTTTCTCTAGCTTCGATTTTATTTGCTTTGGACTCGACGTATTTCCTGTGCGTTGGCGAAGCTTGTTCCGCAGGTTTTCTGTTCATAGGTTCGACTATTTTCCCATCATTCGGCCACCGTCTTAATCCGGGTTTCGGATTGAACGATAAATCACTTGATGAATGCGCTTGAGGCTTGGGAATTCCTCCTCTGCTACGTTTTGGTTGACCTCCTCTCTTTTTATCGCTATCAGCCGAAGGTGCTTCGTGGTTTTCAGTTATAAGCGACGCCCAAGAATTAGATTTTTTCAACGGAAAACGTTGCAGACTAGGCGAGGAACCTTTCCTAATCGAAAGATCATTGTCAGAATAAGACCTTCGCAATCCGAACTTGCTCTGCGTCTTAGAGCCGCTTTGCGATAGCGATGCTAAAAAGTTCGCTTTTCTTTCAGACAATGCACCACTGTCTGACCCTGCGCGCTCTCGCTGATGCGCATGCCCATTCATGGTACGTTTTTGAACTGTCGGTTTCTGCCTTGTTTTGCCATCAAGTGATGAAGATCGTTTGACTGTTGTCCGCGCATTGCCGTGAGGACTGGTGCCAACTCTTCTCGGAAGGCTGCTCTTGCGTGGAGTCCCGGACCGCGGTGCATTGTTGAGGCGGGAGTTTTTGATGTTTTCGGTTTCGTGTATTTCAAACATTGCTATCTCGTCTTCTGAGGCGAAGTGTACGCTCTTCGGTATAAGAGGCCTGATTTCAGGTTCGTCCTCTGAAACTGAACGAGAAAAAGAGAATTACTGCTAAGGCGTTATAATTATATACAGATCTACACGTGATATCTGAGCTGACAATTGCACACCTCGTGTGGTGTGCCAAGGGACAACTTGCGAAAATCCAGCTGGCTGACATACTTCCAAATTTGCTATCTTAATGGTTACACTATCGAACGATAGAGAGTCCTCGGGGTGAGCGCAGCGTTTTTTGTGATTCTTGGCGCAAAGCATTCAACGAACATAAAAAATAGGGCTTCTTGCTCCCGATCTCTACCGGCGATTGTGATAGTTGGCTTGCAGCTTTGACCCTCGCCAATTTTCAACTAAGAGAAATCCCAAGCTCTCAATTCAATGTTCGGTATGAGAACACCCAGAAAAAATTCAGCAGTTTTGATAATTTTTGGGATAATTTCGGTAAATGTCAGATTGTCTTCGTAAATGCCCGAAATAGAACTTTTGAAACTTTTGTTCTGAGGCAGTCCTGTGCCGTTATTTTTCCTTCAATTTATCGCGTGTTCATTATTGTTAGAAAGAAAACCGTGCATGAGCTCCACAACTTAATCATTGATACACTCTATTTGGTGGCTTTAGATATACTTCTTTAAAAAAGTGTATTCGTTAAGCACATGTTTGGTTAGATGTCTTACCATCATTTCTCATTATTTCGCCATCTGTAAGATTGTCCCAGGCTCCTCCATCCTTCTCAAATCGCTCGGTCAGAGACTCAATATCTCCATCGGGGGATCCCTGGGAATTCAATTCCCACCGGTTTCCTCCTCTATAACTGCTTCCCTCTCCATTCATCCTACCGTTAACAGAGTTTCCCGATTCTCGAGCAGAAGCAGCGTTGTCGTATTGTTCTTTGAGCGTGTCCCAGTTATCAGTTTCTTTCATTTTGCTCAGGAATTCGATGTGTTCATCGCTCAAGCCTCGTCCTTGACTTAAGTCTTCTAAGGACCCAAGCAACGCTACCACGCATGCTACACTACAGCTGGCCACAGTACTGTCGGCGCAACGGGCAGATTCCACAATACCATCCATCAAACTGGCCAAAATAAGACATTAGTCAGGAATTGTTTACCATGAATCTATTCCGTAATATCTTATTTCAGTTAGGCTTGCATCAATTTCTGGAGGGCTTTAAAGGACATAACAATAGCAAACAAGCTAACTTTAATTTAAGCATTGCAGTAGGTTTAGTATGTAATAGTGTCCGTTACATTTACTTCGCCTACACAGCTCAACCTTTTCTTTTTAGAACTGATTTATAGTGTCAAAACCTTGTTTTAGGATAAAATGCGTTAATTTTGCTGAAACTCTCGCTGAAGAAACTGGAGAGTCTGATTGGATTTCACTTATCTACTTTGTTGATGGTCAAGAGACTATGATCATAGTCTCTAGTGATGGTGTTAGCAACATCCTTGTCAAGAAGTTCGCGCTTTCTGACTTAACAAGGATGGTATTTCTTTCTGTATCGTACATCACACTTACAGTCGCAGTAAATCCAATTCAGATTTCTTCTGCTCGGTTGGAGAGTCTGGTGATGGGGGATTGTCCTTGTCAATGATCGTTGGACCTGCGGCATCCAACAGCCGCTGCGGACTGGACAGGAACTGGGGACGAATTGAAAATACAATTTACACTAAAGCAATGACTACTTTGAGAACAAAATTACCCAGCCATCTAGCAGTATGGTGGCCTCAAAGGCCACAGTTATGCGTCTCATAAATGTAATTAATGTGAGCAACATTTAATAGAAATAAGAAGCTTTTTATTTCTCTGTATTTCAATCGTTTCTTCAGGGACCCGTCCTACTGATTTTTGCCGCAAAATTAAACGCACGAAGTGTTCTGAACGTTGACAGGTTTTTCTAATAGGAGTAATGTAGACGCTGGCAGATAAGTCCTTTCTGACTTATTATCACGTGAACTTCAAAACTTTCTATAATTTTCCCAAAGAAATATTTAGACACAAGTCATGAGAATAAATGACTTGATCAAATGATCTACTGTACCTCTTTTAACGCTTTCAATGCCTCCGCTCTCTGCTGCGCTGGAGGATACAAAATAATCCGATGGAACAGTGATTCTAACACTGGCCTCATGGCCGCCAAGGGGCCCACAAGTCGCAGGAGCTCCGTGGCTATGTTGTAAATGGTCCGTGGTATAGGACCCACAATCGAGGACGATTTAGCAAAGTTCCCTGTTCCACGTCCCCCTCGGTTGATTTCTTCAGGGAATGGAGAGACGGTTTTAGGTCGTTTGTTTAGATCATTCAAGGGGCTGCCTAGCAACTGAATGAGCGCCGGACACAGAAGTTGCCTAAAAGAGAAAGAGACAAACAATCGTCCTGGCTTAGTAATGTCTGTAGATATTAAATTTAGTGTTTTCTGTTCTCGGAAATGGGTGAAGAGAGATGATTCATATATGAAGTACTTTCTGAGTTTTTTCCAAAGAATTTGAGGTAATGATTGTCGTGCGTTCTTGTGGTGTTGGGTCAAGGAATCTAGTGGGGTAATCATTTTCGTTGCTCGTGTCTCTATCCACTGGACAACGTGTTTATATATACTGTACTGAAGAACTAGGTGTTTAACACTTTTCGCTAGTGGGACGTATTTAATCATAAGTTGTAAACGCTTGTTTGGTTTTCGAGTTTGTCTGTCAGATTTTAAGCCTTTTTCCAAACTCACGTTCACTAGCCTCACTTGCTAAAAGATTCCTGTCGTTTTTCGAAACTGTTCTACAAAATCTAACGTCTGTTTCTTGAATAGTAGCAAATACCAATAACTCCGCCATGTTCGCCATGTTCCTGAACTCACCAGATGACGTTTATAAACTCTTTCTCCTGTTGTAAGGCTGTCGACAGGCTGCTAAGCATCACTAAGATGGCCTCAAGGTACAATGGGATGGCCTGGCCGCTTTGCACCGGCACACTACGACAACAATCAAAAATAATTGTTATCCACGTTCATGGGGGGAAATGCCATGGGAAACTCACCAAGCAAAATCAAAGTACAAAGTTTTCAAATCGAATAAGAAATTTTATCTTTCCAAACAAATATCACTTAAAGAATCACGATGGTTAGATAATGTAACCCGAGGACTTCCAAAGATCGCTCGAAAAATTCCGAAGATTGCCGAGATTAAACGATGTTTTGCCTGAAATTTCAAAAACTTCTGAGCTTATTCCTTGAATTTTCCGAAGATTTTACGAACACTCCTAACGACTGCAGGAAGATTTCTAAGTAAACTGTTTTTGCATCGTTAGTAACTGGAAGAAATAAACAGTTGTGAACTAATTGTTTTCTTCCTTCGTGCCAAAACTCACTGACTACAAACGCATAAGATAAGATTACATCGACATAGAATCTTGATCGAATTTTACCAATCGAACGGAGCTGAAGAGCAGATGGGCGTTTTTGTTTTGTTTTTTATTATAAAAACTTTCCCAGTCTTTTCTCGTATTTTCGGTTTTCAATTAAATGGAAATTAGAGGTAACTGAAGGACAACGAGAAGAGAAAAAATCAGCTTTTGAGGATAACATTCTCATAAAGTCGTACATATGTTTTCTGGCACGTGCTGATGTTTACAAAAAAAATTTCAAGTTGAAGTTACAATTTATTCTTATAGCATTGCGTGCCCGGCATTATTCTTTCCACAGTGGTCCCACGCTGAGCGACAGAAAACTGAGTAATTATATGAGCGCTTTACCCTTTGACTCCTGGTAACAACTAAATCACATCATCCTATCGCAATAAAAACCACACAGGGCGACAAACCTTTCAGTGCCTCAATATCCGCAAGCCTACATAATGAGTTATTATCTGAGCAAACATTTAGTCAAATTTTGACAAATTTGTTTATTTGTTGTGTTACTTATGTTAATATTCAATACTACATTTTCCTAATTATTATATTTGTTTTTATTTTAGGTGCCAAACAGTTGCCAAATGCTCCTTCCTAATAAACGTCGAGGGAACTACATTCGATCAGTACGAAAATTCGTTATTCGTTGTACTCAAATTTTAATATTCTTTATGGGACAATCACAATGATTCATTGTAGGGTGCATAGAGGAACCATAATTTTATTTTGAAGTACAAAACATATCCTTTACCCCAAAAAGTAGCTATGTTTAACCTAAAAGGCGCAAAACAAAAAACAATAATTTTACCAGTTATAGACACGTTCATTTTCTCCACCCTTGGTACATAGACTCTGGTCTTTCAACTTTTTCATTTCAACTTTTTAAATGATGCAGTGAGGAGCGACCGCTTTTGTTTCTCTGATATTTTTCAAGTTTGAGTTATCTATTGAACTGCAAATGATACGAAAGCTCTAAATTGGAAACGAAATGCCAAATTTTACTGTACGGGAAAATGAAATACAGACATTTCAACTTGAAAAAACTTCCAAAGAATTTCTCAGTTAAATGGTCAGACGCTTTCATCTACAACCACAAAGCTGAAAACCACATAATTGTCTTTGTGAGTAAAAGGTGTTGAAGACCTTCTCGCGCTAGTATTCAGTTATAATTTTGTTTGTTTGTTTTGGCCTTTTTGTTCTATACATCGAGTAAACTGATCTAAGTATCTCCTTACCTTGGTCCCGCGGTGAGTCGGAAGCAGAAATGNACAGGGCGACAAACTTTTCAGTGCCTCAATATTCGCAAGCCTACATAATGAGTTATTATCTGAGCAAACATTTAGTCAAATTTTGACAAATTTGTTTATTTGTTGTGTTACTTATGTTAACATTCAATACTACATTTTCCTAATTATTTTATTTGTTTTTATTTTAGGTGCCAAACGGTTGCCAAATGCTCCTTCCTAATAAACGTCGAGGGAACTACATTCGATCAGTACGAAAATTTGTTATTCGTTGTACTCAAATTTTAATATTCTCTATGGGACAATCACAATGGTTCGTTGTAGGGTGCATAGAGGAACCATAATTTTATTTTGAAGTACAAAACATATTCTTAACCACAAAAAATAGCTATGTAAAACTTAAAAAGGGCAAAACAAAAAACAATAATTTTACCAGACACGTTTATTTTCTCCATCCTTAACACATGGCCGCTCTGGTCTTTCAACTTTTTCATTTCAACTTTTTAAATGAAACAGTGATGAAGCGACCGCTTTTGTTTCTCTGATATTTTTAATAAGTTTGAGTTATCTATTGCACTGCAAATGATACGAAAGCTCTAAATTGAAAACGAAATGCCAAATTTTACTGTACGGGACAATGAATAACAGACATTTCAACGTGAAAAGACTTCCAAAGAATTTCTCAGTTAAATGGTCACACGCTTTCATCTACAACCGCAAAACTGAGAACCACATGATTGTCTTTGTGAGTAAAAGGTGTTAAAGACCTTCTCGCCCTAGTATTCAGTTATAATTTTGTTTGTTTGTTTTGGCCTTTTTGCTCTATACATCGAGTAAACTGATCTAAGTATCTCCTTACCTTGGTCCCGCGGTGAGTCGGAAGCAGAAATGCTTCAGTAACAGCACCACGTCTTGACTCAACAACTTGGCATGGTCGGTAGAGAGCAGATTCGTGTCTACATACATGAAGGGAAAGTAGACGGTAATTACGTTACGTCACAACACCGTATTTGAAAGCATCGCAGGTGAAATGGTCTGGTTTTGGCGGGAAATAAAGCGATTGTCTCACAAATAGACCACCGGTGTACAGAATGAAAAAATACATATATATTTACTTACGTTTCACTATCTTGGAGTCCGTTGAAGATTTTNTATAATGCACGTGCACAGCCATTGTTCTCCTCATTAAACCTTTTGTTTGGTGACGTTCTCGTTGCCGTTGCCGTCGTGTTTTGCGTAAGGTCCCTATTACCGCAAGCTTTAAGAGCTCTCAATGTTGTGCTCTACCTTTAAAAAAACTCCTGTTGCCCGCTAAATTGATCTTTTATTGGCCTATGAAGTTTAGCTTTATCTCAGTAGTGGAGCTCGGGGGCGAGGGTAGTTTATGGAGTGTGTAGAAGCAACGTGTCAAGTCACATATTTATGATATAGAAGGCAGAATTGAGCATTAGCTCTATTGAACCATCTGCTTGCGCCCTCAAATCCCAGAGACTGGGATACACTCTACATTTACTCAGTAATCGACTATTCTCTGAATATATTTCATGTGCTACTATCAGAAGTTAACCAACTTCTCTATCTGCGCGGTACAGAGATGCAATATTCGACTTAAATTCTTCGGTACGCAGGACACTGATTAGGGTAGCGTGTCTGTTTGATTACTGCTCGATTACTGATTCGTCTCCAGTCGTCTTCAAACAACTTCATACAGCGCGCGGCACGGGGTGAGGTGGGAGCGCGGGGTAAGTCAGGCTCGAATATAAGATTTCGCTTAAACAAGAGCCAATTAAAGCCATCTACGGGGAACTTTGTATAAGAATGTTTCTCTGTATAAGAATGTTTCGGGTCATATCTCAAAAGTCCTAGACTCCGGCGGAGACAATGACGTCAATCTTACCATGGGACTTGCCAGACTGTCCTGCAGACGATGACACACTGAACTAAGCATCTGTGTTAAGGTGGCTCTGCACGCTGTCTTGGTAGCGACCTGATGAGCACGCGTGTACGTCTCGATGCATATCTGTGAACAAACACGCGGAAATTAGTGTTGGTTGGGTGTGGGAAGTTAGACCTTTTAAGTCTCCTACGGGTTAAAGCGTTTAATTCGGCGTCGTAAAATAAGACTCGCTGTGACAAATGATTGCTTTAGGGAAATCCGTGTTATAAAGCTATAGATTATCTGTAAATTTGAGGTGTTCTCACCATTGAATATTCAATGATTCCACTCATATTTGCAGTAGTTAGTAAACGGCACAGGTGCTAAAAAATGTGTGGTAGAAGTTTGCCTGGTTTTAGGTTCAATTTTCGGTTGATTAAAGCTAAATAATTAAATATGTCGGCGAACGCCGGTGCAAAGAAATAATGCCCAATATATGCAAAAGCTATCCATAATTCCTCTCATTGGGTGAATGCGTCGCGAACTGGGATCAACCTAGATACGAACATTTGCCAAAAGAATCGATAAATTGTTGTCTGAGTTGCAAAATACTTTGTTTTATTACTCTTACCTCAGCAAGTTTGATGAGATATTCACCGTGAACTTCACAAGACGCAGAACACGTAATGATAAGCAGCAGCTGAAGAAGTAAAGGCAGGAAATGTTCTCTCCATAATTCGCAATAAAACTTCTCGCCATATTTAGAGCCCGTCTTCATCATACGTGAGTGAAGGTTGCATTTATCGTTTAGAAATTACGGAAAGCAAATGAGAGCCAGTTAATATGAGGGTCGTACAGGGGTATTCTCTTGATGCGTGATTAGCTGATTTTATTTTTCGTGAAACGTGAATTTATGAAATCATTCTTCGTTATCCGTTACCAAAAGGTTTTCTGTGACCGGCTAAGAACTTGAATTATTATCCGATATTCGTTATTTCACCACTCTATTCTACGTTATTTTGAGACGAAAGTCTTCCGAATGGTTAGAGTCTTCTATCGAGATTGACTTTGGTATGCGATTTGCAATATGGAGCCTTGACTTTGCCTTTCACGATTTTGCTTTTTTCAAACACTCTTTCTAGTGTAAGATCTGATTTTTAAAAATAGTATCTTATTTATTTATTTTCGTGATTCGGGAAAACGAAATTTTTATACCCGTGATCCGTGATCCTCTATTTTTTCCGTTCCTGAACCGTGCCAGAGAACCCCCTGAACGACCTTCTAATATGTATCACATTAATATGTACCACAATGATAAAAACCAAACATGTTCGACACCGAGTCACTGACAGATGACTCTACCGTGTAGGACAGCTTCTTTCATTACTATAACTAGGCTGATTTCCGTCTACGTTTGAGATTGTTACCTTCATAACTTCGACCTGTACTTCATCTGCCAGAGAGGGAGTGGACGCTACTGTGGCAAGAAACTGAACCGGAAGTTGACTTTCTGCGTCTTCTTCATTCTCCGAGCGAAATCGATCATCGGAAATTAACTTCTGAAAAAACAAGATTTAAAACAGAGTTAGGTCAACGACAAGGGATAAGTGACCACCTCTCTAAGTAATTTTTGGCCCTGTTAGGAATACTTGAAGAACCAGCCGAACATCGCGAGACACTTGAACATCTGGCACCCATTATATCATATAGCTATAATGAGCGTGTCACCCTCTCGCTTTATACAGTCAACACTCGTTTTAGCGGGCACCATCGGGGGAGAGAGTCTGCAATAGTGTCACGTTCTGCTACTCTCTTTTAAGATTTCCAGTTTCTTTTTATTTGTAGTACATTATTTGGCTTCGATAAGAGAAATCATAGCCTTTTGCTTCGACTCATAATCATATAATATAGGTCAAAATAGTGTACAGTTTTTAACTTTCCAAAACTGCAGAATAATTAAGTCATTCAATACGTCAAAGTTGTCCGTTGTAACGAGAGAAGAACAATAAAAATGTTAGTTTGGGACCACCTGATGTGCCCCAAATTCTGTAATAGCGGGAGTCCTTCATATAACGGGAGTTATTTCCATACGTTTCTTTGTAGTTTCGACTTGCCGGGGATCTAGCTTCAATTCGTAATAGCGAGTGTCCATGTTAGCGGGGTGTATGCAAGGCGCAAGTTGACGGTAATACTGATTTTCTTAGCTACCAGCTCCTTTCCTTCCGTCCTCTCCCGCTATTCTTACAGTACCCAAAATATCGGGATTTGCGGAGCTAATAATGCCCGAAAGTGGCTGAAACAATATTTCAGTCAAGAAGGGCAGTTGAATGATTTCTGATGTTACCACGGTGATACACTTAGTGTTTGACCTGTTTGACATCTTGGAACAAAAGTTTCTTTTAGAAACCTGTCCTCCGCATTATCATGTTACCTAGGCAACCTCGCTGATCAAGAAATCGTACGATTCTCGTACGATTCGGCTAAAACGTTTTTTGTCATCCTTGGTCACATTTTAATTACCACTTTTATCGGCGTGCTCCGGAAATTCGCCGCAGCTGAGTAACCATAAGTGTTTTGTCCAAGGTGAATTGTAAATTATTTATGTCTCAATTAGTATACATTTGTACATTACTTAGGAAAGGTTCCACCCGAGCAACTGGAAATCAATTTACAATCCTGATAAACGTCAAAAACACGTCAACTGATTCATGAACCCACATAACGTTTAACAGACACGTTGCCTCTCTGCCACCATACAAACTGACGACTCGAAAGTGAACAAAACTTTAAATCAAACATTTCCGTCCAATATTTTCCCTTCTTAGGCTGTTTCTAATCTTATCAGTGTTGTTAGATCAGATCAGGCATAAAGTTAGACATTCTTTTAAGAATTAATAAGTTTTTGTTTTCCTCCATAACTTAAGCACGATTTCAAAAGACGACGAAATCGGAATAAACAAGATAAAATGCTAAAATTGCAGTCAGGGATGGCCATCGGTAGCATAAATCAGTTGTATATATTCAAGATAAGCTTAGCTGGGCGAATTTGTGCCAGCTGTTGTAGGGGATTTTAGTGACTTGATTGGCCTGAAGGCTTGAGCATTCGTTTAGGCTGTTTTATACTTACGTCACGAATTTAAAGATAAATTTAGAGTCAAGCGCTACGCGGATTTTCTAACGCATCGATAACGTTTCAGTAATATTAAGGCTGGTTTCCATATGATCACCATTATTGCCACGTTTACCGCAAGCAAGGCTCAGTGATCGTTGCGATGATATGTCCTGACCATCACTGTGGTAGACATCTCAACGATGGTAGGTATCATATGTCATAAATAGGTAGTCGTAAGGATCGTTCAGTTAAAGCTGAACCAGCTGTGGTGACCGCAGCGGCATGGGAACCAGCCTTGAGATAGACCTGTAAACCTTAGCTCCCAGGAGTCTCCTGTAGCTTAGTAGTAGAGCATCTGACTAGTAACCAGAAGGTCTTAGGTCCAACTCGCTCGTAGCTAGAGAACTCTGAATTCCTTTAATTTCCGAGTATATCTGTGTCAGTGGCAAAAGATCATTTCCCCAGTTTAGGTCTATCTCAATGATCGTTGTCGCAACGATCGCTAAAAAGTTGTTTCTATATGAATGCAGAGATCCCTGAACATTTTCTCAGCGGTTGCAGTGATCATATGGTACAGTGTAAACCGCGGTTGATTAAGCAAATTTGGATATATCGGGTTCAACAGCAGATAATACCAAAGTTACGCAATCTGGGCGTTCGTTCTGCCCAATTCGCTGGGAACATTCATTCATCGCTATTTTCACCTTTAATTATGTTTTATATCGTAAAATTCGAAAATATCTCTTCAGATCAGTTTTTAATTAAATGTCTGATTCTTAGAGCGAGTAAAAACTACAGGTATTCTCACTTGAAACGACTGGTGTTAAACTGAAAGCCGTATTATTTAAATCTCTCCCTGTTGACGAAACGTATCTTACGACTATGCATTACGTTAAGTTTTTCCATTTGCAAAAATTGTTTGAGTATTGGCTCAGACAGTTTTTTAAGACGAACGAAATTTCAACCGAGCAATTTTGTACACGGGGCAGAGGATTTCGCGGCAGAGCGCGGCTTATTTCGGCGAACAAAAGGAGCGACTGAATTTCTTGCAAGTCGTCAACAAACAGTCACAGAGCAGGTTGCAAACGGCAGGAAAGCTTGAACGATCCTTGTTCGTTCTGGTACTGCACAAGCAACGAAAGTACCTCAATGACTTCAAGTGGGACTAAATTTTGTTCGCTTTTGACTTTGTTAAAACCGCACGTAAAACAGTGAAAGCCGGGAGTGAAAGCCGGCTTGCTGCGGAATGAAACCTTTGCCACAGACAGCTCAAGAATTATGTTAAAAGTGAATTTCATCATTAAAACCTAATGCGTTCTTGTCAAAATGTCCTTCAGTTTCCCGACAATGTTAAACGACGTGAACTGTTAGTGCCTCTAAACCTTTGTTAACAAAGCTGACTGCTGAGCTATTCCACGAGGATGTCATAAATTATTTATTTTCGAGTCAAAGCCACTGGAGAGTATATATTTTTCATAAATTTACGCAGAGAAAGAGATAGTTGTTCGTCGCTAATGATTTTTAGAAGACCATTTGTAAACATTCCCCGTTCTGCTTTAATTAAAGGAAATATCTTCGGAACGTTGGTGCAAAATGTTAATTGATACTTTAAAGAAAGCCTTTTTATGTCTTTTTTTGACAAGACAAGTGGTTTACAACTTTGAAAATCATTTTCTTCTGTTTAGAAGCTCTAAGTAAACATGTCCTAAACGGAGACTAAAACTAACTGCACCTAACAAAAACAATTCTGTAATAACTTTTTACGGAGTAATTGCGGCAAAAATGTTTCTTTCGCTATGCAGATGACTTGGCTAATTTGTCTACTTCGTAAAAACTAAAGCTTGATTGGTGTGGAGTGTTTTTAAGGGCGAGCGTGAAATAAAGAAATTAATTCTTTTCTTGCCTATTTGCAAGAAAAACAATTGCTTGAAAAAATTAATTTTAGTTGTCTTCATATCTGAGTTGAAATAATGTTCAATTACAGAACGACAGTGACCGAAATGTCTTTTACTTAAAAAAAAATCAAATTTTAAGAGATCAGCTGATTAAATAACTAAAAATCTGTGATTAGCAAGGATACCTGATATATTGACGGATTCGAAGTTTGCAAAATCCTGTCTCAAAAATTGCATATTTCTGTATCCCAGTTTCGTATCGCAGTTACGGCTATTTCGTTATGGCAATTTATTCCTTGCGGTAAAAATGTTACTTAAGCGACCAGCCAGCGGGCATTCAAATTAACTTTCAATTTTAATTCGTAAAGTATCCATTTTCACCTTTCCATTTTACGGAGACAACACCTCGTTGTTATCGTAATGTGATGTACTATTTTGTGTTACACGGGGCCTTGATTTTAGGAAACTTTCAATTTTATCATCCGTAGAATTGGTTTGATTTTCAACTCCTTTCATAAAATCCACTCATTAATTAATCAAATCCATCCGTCCATTGACCGTGCAAGACGAAGATACTACAGAATATTCGCCGCGAAAAACTGTTATTCGTCCACTAACCTGAAGGCCGTTTACAGCATGAAGCGACAGCTTGCTTGATCGAGACTCCAAGGCCAGTTTCAGCGGTAGGAAGCACTTTTCCCTGCGAAAAGAACAGCCAATTATATTTACAGACCATTTGATCCAACAGTGGTGTCCACTTTCCTACCTGTAGAAGCCGATATTAGCGGCAGAGGGGTTTGACTAGGGCTTACCTCAGCTCGTGGGGCTGGACTTTTCGCGTTCCATTTCGACTGATGAAGAGTCCGTCTGAAAAACCAAAACCACATTTATCAGCGTATTCTCCTGGCAAATTTCTCGCGGTTTTTTTCTTCACATTGCACCTAGCTTACCCGTCGCTGAAATACACGCGTCTCGTAGGTTCTTTGCTTTACTTGACGTGGCATCGTGAGCTAAGTTAGATAACACTTCCTCCATGGCTCTCTAACCCATCAGACAAGCCGCGCACAAGAAATAATTCCAGAAATTCGACGATTATTCCCGTCTCTACTGCGAGATCATCTTCTCGAAAGCTTTTTCAAGTCACAATATTTTGCTTCAGCAGGTCGTTAGCGCGTTCAACGAAAACAATTCAAACAATAGAGTAGAGAAGGGCATCAGCGATGCGCCGATCGCGTGCGCAGTGTTGTGTGCAGATGAATGGCTTCCTTCTTGGCACCTGTACGCTATCCTATCAATCATCTCCTTATAAGGAAAGCGCGCGCATACCTGAAACCGAGCGTACATTGGCATGACTGCAGACTTTAGCTCCTAAACTTGAGACGGTCGAAGCCAAAATATCTTCTCTAAACTGCGCTGTTTCAATCGAGCCCTCTCCCTGAATCGAGTAATTCATACGCTTACTCTCTTACTGTTCTACAGCGTCAACATAGAAGCCAGCTGATTGAACAAACGCAACTTTGATTTTTTTCAGTCGCCAGTACAAATTTCTCCAGAAATCAAATTTCTTAAAAGCGTGACGCCTTGGTGGGCGTTTGATTCACGCGTGTAGTTTGAAGTTAACATCTTTTCTAGTTTTGTTCTTAAGACGGTAGGGAGTGATTTCTAACAGATATGACTGGAGAGGTGTGGAGCAGGGCGGTACAATATTTCGCTCCCGTGTTCTCTCCGTGTGTTCCCTCCCACACAGTCCAGCAAGGGAATCCCCCACGTCGTTACAAGCAGGGTGTTCGTAAATCCACAAGATAATTTCAGCCCAAGAGATTTTCGCAACTAAAGCAAGTGCAAAGAACTCCATTTTTCCTAAGCCCGTTTATTTCGGAACAAGTGTTAACAACTTTATATACAAATGACAATTAAAAACCATCACAATACAGTTTTTGAGTCGAAGGTGACAGTGATTTGACAAGCAAGTCATCCTTTTGACATAACTACAAATTATTACCAAAAAGGTTAATGCAAGGACTGGAAATACAGTCGCTTTAATAAAATACTAAGCCTAAGGTAAAGAGTAAATATAAACCAGCTTTGGCTCAATTAACTTTGCTATCAAGTACACTGATTAAACAAAATTCACAACAAATATTACTCAATCCTTTGTTTGTCTGACACGGTTAGGGACAATTACACTAGACACTTGGTGCACTTTCTGACAATTTTCCAAGGTGTGTGAGTGTTTGCTAAGTTATATCTGGCGCGCAACTAGCTTTAACCAATCAGCGCAAAGGTGAGGTCCATATTTGGCCAATCACAAGCGAAAGCCAAACCGAATGTGATCGACTTAGGGAATTTCCCACACTGCCGGTAGCAATTTAAGGAAATCTACTCTGTGGTTTAACAACAATCATGCGGTTAGTTATCATAAACGAACTTACTTACAACAGCGAATTTAAAACTGGAAGAGAAGACAACAACTGGTTTTACCTCAACTAAAAGGAGTTTTAGAAACTAGTCAGTGAACCAAATCACCTTGAATCACAATTCGCAGTTACTTTCAGAGATAGTAGCTGTCTGGCTCCATAGGAAAAATAACAGCACATGGATGGCAATAAGCTTCTGAAAGGTTGAGAGCCAGGTCAAAGTAACTTGTTGTCTATCGTAACAGGCCTTGCGCTTACACACAACAGGAACTAAAAGAGCACTCATCCACAATCAGTAGTCCAAACATAAACTCTTGGAGTGTCTTTAGATACTTTGACAGAGGACAGTTTAGATACAGGCACTTGGCTAGGTAATGAAGGATGAGTATTAGCTATATTAATACACTGTATGACAGGACAGCTCCTGTTAAAAGAAACTGCACTAACATTGTAACTTAAATTCGGAAGTACAACACAAGCTTTGTTAGAGCTATTAAGAAAGGCTGACCTTCTTTTAACATCCCCGCCTCCCCCCGCCACCCCATTGCCACCTCTACACCACAACCACAAATTAAACCCTGGATGGAGATGAATGCTGTGAGGGTAAAGTATCTTGCCCAAGAGCAAAAAGCAATGACTTTGAACAGACCTGCATCTGAGGCTATTAGATTAAACTACATGATCACCATGCTTCAAAAACAATATTAAGTACATAAGCAATTTCCAGTATAACTGTGCATTCCTTGCCGAGTCAGACAAACAGTCAGTGCAAGTTGTCACCATTTAAGAAAAAAAGGAAAATTATCTAACTTTTAACAAACAATTCTTGGAAGTATTTTCATGCATCAATGACCAACTTCTGCTTTTCAATGGGAAGCTTCTGCTCCAGAGCTGGGGCTTCAAACTCGCCATTGTATTCAAACTTGTCCTCGAAGTCTTTCAAGTCGATCTTCTTTCCTGAAGCTGGTGGCTTGCAGCAGAACACCCAGAAACAGCAGCTGAGGGTGCCAATTCCAATCAGAGCCACCACCGAAAAAACTGCCACACGAGCAGCAAATGGAAGGCTGTGGAACTTTGAGCAGAATCCCTTCTTAGTCTGAGAGAAAAACAATACAGTGGGACAGCAAGTGAGAAACTGAGAAGTACATGTAATAAGTGCCTAGCTCAATACAAATTCTCCTTACTGGCTAAGAACATGTCTTTTTACGTTACTTTTGACAACTTGTTGTTACTTCAAGACAGTATTCCCAGTGCAGTGCTGGAAATAAGTCAGCCATTGGAGATTTTCCCACCAAACTTCGGAAAAGGCAAAAAAATGACTTAGCTTTCAGTCCTTGTTTGCAGACCAGGTCATTTCAATGAGAAACTAAGTGTTGATCACTCTTGCTTATCAGACATACAATATTAATTACTTACCATATGGCTGTATCGCACAAAGACTAGGAACTACTGAATTCACGAATTTGATTGGCCGAAATCGATATTGACTGCGGTCTAGATTTTCCCATCTAGACCGGCATCTAGACCGGTTTCATTTTGCGTTGACAAAGCAGTAAACTAAAATACAAAAATGTTCACCATTTTCTTTTATTTTCTTCTCAATTATTTATGGAAGTACCAAAAAGCCTGATGACAAAAAAAAAGTAGAGAACGAGCAAATTTTGGCAGGTTTAAGTTAAGCTCATTGCCGTTCGCAAGTAAACTGTCGGCAAACCAGTTACATTAAACGAATTAAAGTTTTCTTCTTTGCCATATAATAAACATCTTATTAACCGAGCTAAGTCGGTCTGTATGGGAGAATCTTGACCTTGGTCACGTGTACAGACCTTGGTCAAGATTCTCCCATACAGACCTCCAGCTCGGTTAATAAGAGCTAATTATTAACTGAGAGAGAGGTCTTTATCGCAAAATCTCACTGAGAACTTGCTGTATTGACCGGCTGAGGTTTGAGATTTTCCTGCAGAGACCAGAAATTACTGGAGAATACTGCCTTAGAATCACACTTTATATCAGCTACAAACCCTAGCCGCACCATATTCTGATATTTGTTGATTAAAATAAAATTGTCATTCTCCTCAGCATGTCACAATAATAACACTGACTAAGCTCTTTACATAAATTGTGCACCTCCCCAAGACCACATATATTTGGCTAAAATGTCACTTTAAATGGCCTGAGAAATTCCCTTATCAGTTTTGTAAACAGCCATAACTATATTAAAAAGAGTATTGGTTCTCAATGGTTTGATATCCTTGAACAAACAACAGCTCTGAACAACTGGACATGATAAACAAGCGTTCTTACCGTGTCAGCTTTGTAAGGGTGGTCCGGCAGCTGGGCTGGTTTGGGGGCTGGGTTATCACTGTACGGTTTGTCAGGCAGGTGACCTGAAAAGCAAAATAAACATTCAGTTAGCATGGTTCACGTAGTTTAGCAATGGTGGTTAAAAACATGTAGGAGCACTGTAATCCTGGGGGAAATAACTGTGGCCACATTGTTAACGAAGGAAAGATATGCCTTAAAACAGCTTCAACAACAAAAAAAATGCATGATCCAGTCACTATTGAGTGCAGCCTCAGGCTAAGAAATGTCTCCATAATCTTGGAAAAAACCATTGGAGTAATCAATCTCTTACAATAGATTTCGTGACTACATACATTTTACAACTAAATAACCGGTAAATATAATTTTGTATTTATATAATGGCAAATTGTAACTTCATACATGTATATATAAAAAACAAAATAACAATAATGACATTAATGAAGAAAAATAGCTTCATACCATCTGGATATTTATGTGTGTCTTTATCCTGGGGCGTCTTGTGAATGTCGGATGACTCCAGCTCAATTGTTGTGATTTCACGCTTGGCAATCATCTCATCGTTGGCAGAATCCAGTTTCATCACCAACTGCGTCACTTTGATCTGCCTCACCACCTGGTGGTCCACCTGAACAATTTCCTCCTGCACTTGCAGCACTTTGAAAATTCCGTCATTTGTGGTCTGTTGTGACTCCGTCACCAACACCCTGATCACAATAGGGACCTTGGTCATGTGTTGCAACACTTCTTGGTTCTTGCCAATTTCATCTGCAATGGGAAGATCATACATCGAAACAGTCAGGTTCAGATGACTGAATAAATTTTGAACCTACATTGTAGATGAAGTGCAGTAAGAGATTTAAGACTTAGTTGCGGGTTTTGCGAAAGAGTTTGGGGGACTGTAAAGGGTTCATAAAGGAATAGATTGTGTGATACTGCCTGCACTGAAACAGGGTGTCATCAATGAGAGAACAATTTTAAAAACACAAGTCAAACCAATTCTGTAAGGCATGCAGAGTGTCTACTATTTTATGAGACCTTCTCACTACATCATGGTAGGATAAATCTGGAGATAAAAGAAGTTACCTAATAAACCTTTATTGAGACTGCACTTGTATATCTATGATTTCTTAACATACAGGTATATATTATACAGTTCAATGTTATACATACATGTAGCATTATGATTGGGAAGGGAAGGGGTAGGCTTTTTCATGTAAAGTTCTGGGGCATCTGGCATAATTTTCCAGGTCACTTTTTCAGACAATAATAATGCATGTTAATATCTCACAGAAAATATGACAACAAGAGAACAAGTTTGTACATAACTACGGAAACAGAAAGAGAATAAATGTCTCACCAATTTCTGCATAGAAATGAAACGTTGTGACTGCCTGGTGTATGGCCTTGGTGTTGTTCACATGCACTACACCATCAATGACACTGATTCTAATGTTTACCTATAAAATATAATATTTTTAGCATACACTGTATGAGGTGTTAATCAGTGATTAAAAACTACTTGAGCAAAAGTGTACTCTGAATGTCGCTCAACTAATCAGTGATCCCTGTGAGACCATGTCCATTTTGCTTAGGTGATGGGGTCAAATTACAGAAATCTGAAATTTGCATTTTTAATTCTCTTTAGAAGGGCTTGTTGGAATGAGTTGGACTAATAGAAAGCCTATGTATTATGCAATGAAAAAAATCACGAAAAAAATCACTGGAAGTAATAACACCTTAGACAAAATACTGACATGATAATAGTGAAATTCGCAAACAAATAAAAAATATTCACCAATCTCAGCAAACAGTGCTTTGGATCAATCACACACATGAAAATTTTCTCACTTCAGCTGTTGAGTTAATTTTGTTGTTGCTATTTACTTTGCTCCTTCCACCTTTCTTGCCACCTACACCTATACATTTGCAACTTATCATAGCTTGGCAAAAGACAATAGTTGTTATACAAAGTAATTTCAGTTGTTTTGCCACTGGAGACTCATGAAGAAGATATTAATCAATGGGTTTTACTGGAACTTTAAGTGATTACAAGTGAAAAAAAAATTGTTGGCATGTTAAAATACATGGAATTCCATACTATAAAATGTGCAAATTTAAGACAAAATTTAAGACAAATTAATCTATAAAAAAATACATGAAAAATAGGTTTCACTGGAGGTAACTGCATCTTTTATAATGTTCCAGTGACGTCACTGCTAACGCTGATGAATACAATGTCTTTCTGCATCTACTCCATAAAAAATTGTTGGTGATGAAGGAGAAATTGTTGGCTTTCGGCTGCAGTTGCCTGCTACTTCCAAGGAAGTAGGTCCAAGGAGGTTGTTTTTCATAACAGGAAGATTAGGGATGACAGCTGCTCAGATTAACACAGCAACTACAAATACTTGTATTCAAATTGTCACAGAAGCAAAAAAAAGTCGAAAACATGTACCTTGCACATCAAGCCCCGGTTGCTCGAAGGCTGGATAATGCTATCCACCGGATAAATCGCTGTCCAGTGGAGAAGTGTTAACGGAGTAAAACATGCTATCTGCTGGAAAGTGATTTATTCAGTTCATAGTATTATCCACCTTTCGAACGCAAGTCTGATAGACACCAACAACTTATGATTTTTACTTTGAACTGTAATTACAAAATTCATTAGGTGATGCAGAAAATAAGCAGATGTTATTGAAAAATGACTTTTCTACCATGTGGCTACCAAAACAGTGTATTTAAAAGACAGTGTAACTTGTTATTCACAAAGCATGCTTATCTGAATTTAGCATTCAGTATATTTCTTGTTTTCCTTATGATACCTGGACTGCAAAATCAAAAGAATATCAATCCATCTGTGATGAGAAACAATCACTATGTCGAAGACTTTTTTACAACACAGCAGTGGCCATAACAAGCACACTGCTACAAGACGAAAGAACAACACCAAAATGATGCTGACTAACAAACAACTTCTGGAAGCAGCTTTAACAACTAAAATACTTGCTACTTGCTCAGCCTAGATATTACATGTAGATGTACACTGTGGCTGTGCTTTTCCCCGATCCAGACATTTTTGTAACCATTTCTTGTGTATTTTAGAAGCAATGTGCTACTCAATCAGGAATCAGCGGAGTACAAAAACAACAACAACGACAATACAGTGCTTCCTGCTGCAAGCAAATGACACAAGTCCTCTACAACTTTTGACGCTGATAAGCAGTTGAAGATCATGCTATTTTTCACATAAAAATACTAGCACAGTAACTGTTAATAGCAGGGACAAACAGACTTTTAGTGAAGACAGACTACAAGGCTTAGGTGAACTAGCCTGTGAACGCAGACGTATTTCCGGCTGTCACTTGGTTC